CCAGCGGCGGTGGCGCCTTCAGGGGCCCTTCCAGAGGCGGTGGCTCACCCGAGGCCTCTTTATGGGGCGCCACTGCCCCAAAACAATGGATAGTGGTGTCGTACATATTGCATTCTTCAAGTAATCTCTTACTTAACTGTAATTGGTGGAATGAGAGGTCACATCATCAAATTACAGCCCATAGGAAAACAGAGCAATCAGTCAGCACAACACCCCAACTTATGTTTTGCTGTTGGATATTTATTCTCCTTTTCATTGTTCAGGTTGCGAAAATACTGAAAATGCTATGGGCAGTGTCTATTTATTTAACGTCATATCTCCCAGAGTTTAAATAGTGAAACGAAATTAAATATCCAACAGCAAAGCATAAGTTGGGGTGTTGTGCTGACTGATTGCCTTGTTCTCCTATTGGCTGTAATTTGAACACGTTACATCTTGCTCCACCAATCACAGTTAAGTAAGGGATTACTGGACGAATGCAAAATGTAAGACAAAACTATGAAGTTCTTAGGGCGATGCTGCTTGTGGACGGGCCCCTGGGGGCGCCGTCGCCCCTGGCAGAGACCCTGACGCCCCTGGAAAGGCACGCACTATGACTAGGAGGGCCCATACCAGCGCTGAGGGCCCTAGGAGGGCCCATAGGGGCGCTGCAGCCCTTGGCAGGGTCATTTGGGGCAGAGGAGCCCCATAAAGGGACCCTGGGTGAGACACCGCCTCTGGAAGTGCCACTGAATGCGCCAACTCTGTGGTATGGCCCCTGGGGGCGCCGCCGTCCCTGGGAACACCCCCTCAAGGCGCCCCCATCCCCTGTAAGGGTCATCACTTCTGGCCATGCAAGGCACGGAGGCGTCCCGACGGCCCTCTCAGGGGTCGGCGGTGGCCCCAGGGGACCTGTAGGTCAGGGCCAGTATTCACCAGGGGCGCCTAGGGACAACTGCAATCCCAGAGGCCTTCTCAGGGAAGGCGCGCCGCATAGGCTCCCTCCTCCAGGAACAGCCGAAGCTTCCCATGGGCCTTCTGAGGGATGCAGGCAACGCTCCAAGGGACCCTTGCAGGGACGGCACGCCCTAGGGACCCCACAGGGGACGGGCGGCTCCATAGGCCTCCCAAGTGGGCGCTACACCCTAGGGGGCGCTTTGCGACCCTAGGGACTACAGGGACAGCCTTGATCCCTGGGGCCTTCCCTGGGACAGAGGCGCCTCTAGGTAAGTTCCTAGGGACTGTGGTGCTTCCAGAGGCCCTGCCAGCGGCGTTGGTGCCTTCAGGGGCCCTTCCAGAGGCGGTGGCTCCCCCGAGGCCTCTTTCTGGGGCGCCACTGCTCCCAGAGATTCTGCCAAGGCCTGTGGTCTACAGTCCACCTAGGAAAGGGAAACAAAACAAAGTGATAGGTAAAACAGATATTTATTCTTTCAGTAACTTTACTTAATCAGATTGGTATTGTCAATTACAGTTAATAGAAAATAGAGCAATCATTCAGTGTAATATCTAACTTGTGCCTTATTGCTAGACATTTATTCTCATTGTCTGTGTCGCCAGTAATACCGAAATGCCAGGCAGTGTCCATGCATTTAACGCTACATTCCTACAGTTTATAGAAAGTGAAACGAGAATGAATGATCCAACAATGTGCCATGCTGTTAAAGAAGGATCGATTGCTCTGTTCTTCATTACTAATTTGATGACGCTACATCTGTTCACCAAATCATAAGTTAAGGCGGACACTGGATTAACGCAAAAAAACGTATGCATAAAACTATGAAGTTCTTGAAGGATGCTGGGTGATGAAGGCCCTGGGGGCGCCGCCCCTGGAAGAGACCCTCACTGTCCCCGGAAAGGCACCTCCACGTTACTAGGAGGGGCCCTTAACAGCCACTGTCATTCTAGAGGCCCATAGGGGCGCAACCCCTGGCAGGGTCCTGGGTGCAGAGGGCCTCATAGAGGGACCCCTGGTGGAGACACCCTACTATGAAGGCTCTGAATGCCAACACGTGTGTGGCCTCTGGCGAAGCGGTCCCCCAGAACACCCCTGAAGGCGCCCCTGTCCCTATAAGGGACCCTGATCGCCCATCCCCTGTGAGGGTCATCATTGCTGCCAGGCATGAGGCGCCCATGACCTCTTAGGGGGTTGTGCCGTGGCAGCCTCTAGGGGACTCCAAGGTCACGGCGTTGGATCTACCAGGGGCGCCTAGGACAATCACAAGAATCCTAGAGGCCTTCTCAGAGAAGGCGGCGTCGAGGGGCCTTCCTGTGGGACAGGCCGAGCTTCCATGGGCCTTTGAGGGATGGCACGCTTGCAAGGGACTCAGACATGGTGCCTCTAGGTACGTTCCTAGGGACCGTGGTGCTCCTAGAGGCCCTGCCAGCGGTGGTGGCGCCTCCAGGGGCCCTTCCAGAGGTGGTGGCTTCACCCAGGCCACTTTATGGGGCGCCACTGCTCACAGGGACCTTGCCAAGCCCTGTGGCTCACAATAGGTCCTCCTAGGGAAGTCGGCACCCCAAAACAATGGATAGTGGTGTCATACATGTTGCATTCTTCCAGTAATCTCTTACTTTATTGTGATTGGTGGAATAAGAGGTAACATCATCAAATTACAGCCAATAGGAAAACAGATTAATCAGTCAGCACAACACCCCAACTTATGTTTTGCTGCCCATCGCATTTCCAGTATCATCGCATCATGAACAATGTAAAAGAGAATAAATATCCAACAGGAAAATATAAGTTGGGGTGTTGTGCTGACTGACTGTTCTGGTCTCCTATTGGCTGTTATTTGGTGTATTTATATTTTAGTCCACCAATCACAGTTGAGTAAGGGATTGCTGGACGTATGCAATATGTACGATACCACAACCAAAAGCTATTGGGTTTATAGGAGGCGGCGCCTCTAGTAGAACCCCTGGGGGCACCGCTACCCCTAAGGAGAGCCCCTGTGGACGTTGCTGCCTGCCTATATGAATAGCCCCTGGTGGCGTCGTTGCCTCTTGACAGTCCCCTGGGGGGCCACCACCTCTGAGAGGTCCTCTGCGGTCGCCACTCCCGCTGGGAGGGCCCAGCTCCCCCAGAGACAGCAGTGCCCACACAAACCCACCGACGGACAACGGCACCCACAGAGGCTCTGCCAGGACCGGTAACGCCACTAAGGGCCCTCCCAGGAGCCGTGTAAGGGGCGGTGGCGCCACCAGGAGCCTCTCAGGGGCGGTTGGTGCCCGCAGGAGCCTACAAGGTATGGCGGTGCCCCCAAGGGCCCTTCCATGGACGGCGGTGCTCCCAGGGACCCTACCAGGGGTGCTGGCTTCTCCAGGGGTTTCTCCCAGAAACAGCGGCGCCCCCAGTGGATCTCCCAGCAACAGCAGCGATCCCAGGGGCCCTCCCTGGCCGGCGACGAGCGAAGGGTCTCTACCAGGGACAGCGGCACCCCCAGGGCCGCCGTTGCCACTGTACTGACCCCTTGGATCGCCTCTGCAACCTAAAGAGCCCCTAGAAAGTCACCTGGGATCGCCGCTACCCCTGGGAGTAACCCTGGAGGCACCGTCGCCCCTAAGAAGGTCCCTGGGAGGGCCTTTGGGAGCGAGGTCGTCCCTTGGAGGCACCCTGGTGGTGCCACCGCCTCTGGGAGGGCACGTGGGGGCGCAGCCACCCCTGGAAGAGCCACTACCCCTAAGGAGAGCCACCAACACATCAGCCAGCAGCACCAGCCCAAACCCCTCGTGTACAGCAGTGTGTGAAGTACAAGCCTATTAAGACAACTGAAGATAATTGTTTTGCAAGTATTGTGGAAATGTTGTGAGCAATAAAAGTGAAGAGACTAAGGCATTGTACATAAGTAGTGTGATGACTATATATTCGACGCTGTAAAAACATTACCCTGTAAACAGTGTGATGAAGAATTGGTGTTAATTAAAGAAGGCAACAGTTTCAAAGTGTATTTCTGTGACCTGGTGGAAATGGACCTGCCTGTTACTTGTCTGTACACTGATATCGATCATAGGGAAATTACCGGAGATTGGCGGGATAGCCAGTGGTAATTCGACAACTCCTGTGATATATCTACTGCTTCTGTACATACAATCTGCCTGCTGGTAATCAGTGGTGGAAACTGGGTAAGCAGTGACAGGAAGAGGGTTGTAATAATATTTTACACCTTCTGAGATCTTGTTGTAATATATCTAATCACCAAGTTAGAATCACATTATTATTTGTTCAAGTTACTGTACAGTACAGTACTGTATTCTCAAAGTCACATGCCTAAACAAACGCACTGACATGTATTGTAAGTGTAACTCCCCTTTCTAAGGCAGCAGTGAGGAATAACCATACAGTATTTGGCTATATTAAAAAAAAGTAAAAATACCCAATAAATACTTTAGACATTAGAACACACAAATACATTATAACAATAAAAGTAAAATAGGTATAGAGGTGTGTGTGTGTGTGTGTGTGTGTGTGTGTGTGTGTGTGTGTGTGTGTGTGTGTGTGTGTGTGTGTGTGTGTGTGTGTGTGTTTTCATTATCTAAAACTCACATGTTACACGATGAACACCAATTGATATAGAAGTTTTATTGATGTTAGCTTCTAGGTACAGTACTGTATTAAGGCACAGACATACAAAAAGTAAATAATGTACAATCAAGTGACAAAATAAGTAAGGTACAGTATATTCATTAAAAAATATTCATACACTAATATATACTGCTCTAGGACCATATATACCTGTCTTACTAAAGGTAATACAGTACACAGCAGTCAAGGAATATCAGTATGATTATGTCTTTACTGCAAAAAAATTTAATCACAGCACTTGGTTAAATTTTGAGTAAATAACTTCGTGTCATTTGTAGAGGATCACAGTTTTGCACAGATTAACTAAACTCCTTATAACATATAGACTTTTAACCTAATGTCCACAGTAACTATAGGTGGTTATTGACTTATATACAATCCCCTCCAATGTTCTTAACACTGTACAGTCTATTGAGGGATAAATTGAAGCTTAACAGTGTCTCTTGTCTTCACAGCTACATATATCTAACACTGTGCCATGGGTCTACCACTCTTCCTTATAGAGTATTTACTATGCATGACAAATCAGCAAACTTGAAACTATAACCTCTTGTAATTGTATCTCTTTGTTTACTAATTATTACTTGATTTACAATGGAGTGAATGATGTGGGCTTGTAAAACCAATTAGTAATTACAATATTCAACAAGACACTAAAACACTTATTTACTAAGAAGGAAACCTAGAGAGTTTATAAGTAAAGCAAAACTCCTGTTCCATAACACTGAGATGAAAATGTTAAGATAGAGATAGATAGATAGGTAGATGGATAAATAAGTCAAAATATATAGTTAAATAAATAATTATATAGACAGACAGATAAATAAGTAGCACAGAATTAGATAGACAGACAGATATAAATAGATATATAAATATTTAGGAGATAAACAGTTAAATGTTAAGTAAACTTAGTCGTTCAAATTCACATTGATCACCATGACATAAACAGTGCAGGTATAGTGTACATAGACAGGGTAGGTATAAAAACAGTGCTTATAAAATGTTAATCATACATTTATTACCATTATAATCCTTTATTTAGGCTGGGAGACTAACCAGTAATAAAGCTGCAAAAATAGATGTAGGAATTTGTGGCTATAGTACAGCAAGGCTAAATATAACACCACTACATTATACTTGCGACCGAGACTAGCGGATCACTTCTCACTACATAATATTCATTGGTCGGTTAAATACAGAACATCACTCATTCTCTTGGTTTAGTTTCATTGATTATGTACCGGGGGTATTTATCAATTCTAATCTAATTCAAATTATTTGATAGGGTAAGGTTAGACTGTTCTAATTCTTTATGGCTGTAGAAAACTTTTCTGGGTGGAGGGAAGGGTGTCCGCGGTTAATTGAGACCGGAAAAATGCCGCTGGTAATGAATCCGCTTATAGCAGGGAATTAGTCCCATAAAAAAATAATGGAAATAGGTCAAATCGGGACCATGACATTGTACACGACACTCAAGAAATTTTTATATGATATCTTTTAACAATCATTTGCCTTAGAAACATTTGGTAGCACATTATCTTAAGAAATTATTTAACTTTTTAAGTTATTTAACATCCTTAAAGTTCATTGGGGTCGGTGTGTTGAGGCAAAGTAGGTCGTGCCAGTGACTCGGTGGTCGGCAGCAGCTGGTGGACACTCTCTTCAATGGTTTATTGAGACTAAATACTAATGTTTTAAAAATAAATAATTTTAACATAATAAAATATTTTTATTAACTTAGTTTCAAAGGTAGAGATGCTTGGCTTGATTGGACTGATGGAGGTGGGTGTTGGGAGAGGAGGATTAGTCGGAGGATGAAAGAGAGACAGGACTAGGTGGATTGTCCACTTCCACTCTTCTTTAGCCAAATCACTTCTAATTTTACATCTATATTATAGCTAGTGCACTTCCTTTTGAGTGTTGCACCACCCTGTTTGGGTTGGGAACTCACGGCTACAAAAATAATAAAATATTTCACCGCAAAATGTATGAAAATGCACAACAAAGGCAGGAGTAAATATAACAAAGTACTGGTCTGGATGAAACAAAGCAGAAAACTGTCATGGGGACACGTGCATGCATGATGCCAGCAAGAGGATAAAATTTCAAATGCTTCAGCTAAGAATCCATAGATTTTATCTGCCATTTCCCGAGTTTTTGAGTGAAATCAGCTTAAATGAGGGGACTTTATACGTATATGGTCACAAAAAGTTGACCACTTAACTGCGAAACTGCAGATAGTGAATACTCTTATAACAAAGACCCCTTGTACTGTACTACACAGCAATAATATATGTTTTGTACCCTTATTGACCTTAAGCAAGAGTAAATCCCTTCTTAGTCATGAGGAAGTAGAGTCTTCCTTTTCATTACCAAACTTATAATCTAAAATTGACAAACACAACCAACCAAACAACATTAAATACACAAACATGCATAATTATTAATTCACTAAATGAGATACAGTAAATATATCTTTTGAGTCTAAATGAACAAATTAAGTACAGTAAAAGTTATAAAGATCATAAGGTACAATAAGACCCACACAATGTAATATTCTCATTGACCCTTCAGTGATATCCATACATCACAAGAATCTTACAAAGACAGCTCTCTCCTTCTCCATCTAATGTGGAATAAACTTAAGTACAACTCAATGTTGTGATCCAGGTTGTAAATAATAAAGAAGACATAATTAGCCAAACTTAAAGTACTATATTATTTGGCATCTGAGTGTGGTACATGTTTATATATATTAGGACAGTGTTGTTAATTTTTCTAGCATCACCTGAGGATTGCCCCCCACCCCCCACAGGTTATTTTTAAGATTAACTACTCTAATGCTACTTTGGGGTATAAGTTAGGATTTGTGTGGTTAATCAAGGTAAAATTAATTAAGGGGAGAGGACTAATCTTCAGGTGAGCCATTCACTAATACAGTACAATCTATCATCACACACTTCACAGAACATCTCCCGGGAAGATTACCCTCAGCATTAGGAGTGAGAAATAGCCTCAGTTACCATCTACTTAATAGTTATAAAATATTTCCCGACTAGTGAATACAATGGACTACACTGGGAAACTAAATCTATTAAACCTAAAATTCCAGAAAATCACCAAAGAAAGAAGCCTCCACTGATATGGTATGATGCCGTTAACTCTGCACAGTATAGTATTACTGTACTTCATTATACATTTTCATTCTTCATCAGTACAGTATCTGTTTTCATTTATCTAACACTGTACAGTAATACAAAATAGACTCTGTACTACATAAAGATAGAGCAATTTCATTAATGGGCTGACATCATCACCATATACAGTACTGTAATCTAGTTCACTTGTGCAGTAGATGGAGTGTATACAGGCAGTCTCTGGGTTATAAACAAATTGCATTCCTGGGGACATTCTGAAATAAAAAATGTACTAAAGTCGAAACACATGCTATATGCATACCTTACAGAACAATGATTAAAATCCCTCTATATCATAGCCCAAGTCCTTTTATATGTTAAAAATAATTGAATTTAGGAGAAATATAATGATAAAATATAGTAAATGAAAGTAAAAAATGTTTGTAAGTCGGACGTTCATAACCCGGGGACTACCTGTAATTTTCAGAAGGTTCAGTCAAAGTTAACTACGGTACTGTATACTTAATGTTAATCTTAATTCTCTTTTATTGACTATATTAAGTGTGACTTAACTGTACTGTATTAACAATTTCACCTGTGAGTGCCGGGATTTGAACCTGGACCACCAAGATTGACAGTCAGACCAAGAATTTGATTTAAAAGCTCTCTAGGACCGGTGTTTAGGGGGGCTGCCCCAATCTATCAGCTCAAAGTTGTGGTCATGGGACCTTGAGATGCAGTGAGTAGCTGAGGATGGGTAGCTTTTAGTCCATCGTGGTCCAGTGGATGGCTGCCTGACTGCTAACCTTAATGCTCTAGGTTCAAATCCCAGCACACACAGGTGAAAATTGTTTATATTGATTTAACTGCGTACATTACAGGTTCTCATATATTCATTAGAGATGAGTGAACAGGTGTTAAAACTCAATGGTTCTGTGAAATAAGCTCCTGTTGTTAATGTACTCTGTTAGTAACTAGTGTTTTTTTTTTTCAAATTACTTTCCCAATTGTCATCTGCAGGTGATTTTCTCAGGTGTTCAAATGTGTAGTCAACTGCAAGTGTTAAATATTGACACTGTTTTAAGGTATACGGTACTAAGAATATTATAAAAATTATACCAACAAATAAATAAAGGAAGAAGGAAACTGGTTTAATGATCCCCAGATACTATAAAGACATCATCACTCTACAGAACATTGGAGTAATACAGTGAAGGAAGACTCTTGTTGTGAGGTATACTATTGAGATGGAGTGTAAGGAAGAGGTTTTGCAGGAGTCCTCTTCTGTTCACTAAGTTACAACCTATGAGACCTACTATAAACATAAAAAAACATTAAATTAACTGAACCTGTATAGGAATGAGACTTAATCATTTGAGAATAAGTTCATACAGTACCTAGTTCATTGCCTAAAATACCCAAACAGCTTCCCTGCCAGATGGATTCTCTACACTCCAGGTTCTGTATAAAAAAAACATTGTTTTATTGGATTACGTGAAGATTATTAGGCACCCCAGCTTATTTCACCTGATTTAAACACCCTAATGCTGCCTGGGGGGTTTGGTTAGGTATAAGCATTAGGGTGTTTAATCATCAGGTGATATAAGCTGGGGTGCCTAATCTTAATGTAATCTAGCTTATTTGCTCACAAACTGGCCTGACCTTGTTAATCTTAAGGTTTCAATGCAAACTAGAAAAAAAAGTTCACAGGATTTTCTCTCCATAAATAGACCAAGGTAATACAATTTCTCACTGCGCATTGCGGACGTATGGAACAGCTTACCTGAGCAGGTTGTTGGGTACCCATCATTGAACTTTGAAACAACTGGATAAGCAATAGGAAGATCAAGATGGCATGTCTGATGAAAACTAAGCTCTTAATAAAGGCTGAAAAGCCACTTGCTTGCTCGTTACACTACCGGCAAGTGTCAGCAAACCAGCTGAAGCTCTAAACATACAAGAATATAAACCTTTCACCCAGAACTACTAAGTATGGAGTGACATCTTACTGAATGCTTACCAGTTATAGAGTGTGAATTATCAGATAAACAAACAACTACAAACAAATGCAGGTGACATTTTAATAATTTGGTAAAAAATGCCGCAAGCAAAGACTACCACAAGTTATTCATGTATCTGCTGGCAGTGCACAACAGAGATGTGACCGACCATCCAGGGAGCTAACAGGCAAATCATTTGCAAAGAGGATAAAAGTAAGTAAAAAGAAAGTAGAGAAACACTGTCCATTATGGATCATGAACCAAAGAACTACATCTCAAAATGATCCTTCTCTTTCAAATGGAGTTAAAACAAAGTACTATATACTGGAAACACATGAGATAATTAACCTGACTCCAAGTAAGAAATATGATGTGATACAGTATTTACTTTGCAACAACTGGCCTACCAAGCATGGATCTCATTAAAATCAGATTAACAATGTTTTGCTTTGAAAATTATAATCATACACAGTAACCACAATAACACATGTACAGGTACTTAGAACTGCGCTTTAAGAGTTCCAAGTAATATTGTTCTTACCCTTACCTATGATCTTGAATCTTGATATACTGGTGATGGATGGTTCATCTTATTTCATCTCCACTGAACTAAATCTTGTACATTTATCAATATCTTCATGTCAGGTGGTGGCAGGGCATATTTTTCTTCACGGGTACATGTATTGCCTTCTTCTGAAACTTCCTTGTTACCTGTTTTGACATCATTCACTTTCATCTGTTAATCAATTTTGAGATATCATTACAAGAATCTCTGCATTTTAATCCAATTTTTCTATGATCATGTGCATTGTTTTTCACGGTTTCTCTTGTTTGCTGGTCTACAGTTCCTTCAGTTTCATGTTGATAAGAGTGGCAGACGACGATTGGACAATAAATAATGCTCATTTTTTCTGTGTCTACGGCGCTGTATTAGGAGACATATGATAACCATTATCCAGAACAGCATTGTTCCAACTACAGCAAAGGCCAGTGCCACCAACACACCAATGATGGCCTGATGTTTACTCTGGAAACCTTTGTTGCCAGCATTCTGCAACCATGCCACCTGTCCAAGCCAGAAACCACATTACATTATAGATAACTTGTAAAGAGGAACCAAATACAGTAACAAGAAACAAGTTATTGCAAGTCTAAAATAACTATCAAGATTAAGTTATTGTAAGTGTAAAATAACTCAAGAATAACACACAGCCTTAGGACTAACAACCTTTCAGACAATACACAACTGGGCAGATCTCACTGAAACATTCAAAATCCTGAAAGGGATAAAAACCGTGAACCCGAGACATTTCTTTGTGATGTCACACACCACCAAGATGAAAGGACTTAACTACAAGCTCGCCCAGTTATCATGCACAACGAATATAAGGAAATAATTCTTCACACAGAGGGTGGTGGAATGGTCTACCAGTCCAAGCTGTGGAATCAAGAACAGTATTGGAGTTCAAAACAGCCCTTGACAAAATTATCAAAGGCAATGGAGGGATCCTACACAGGCCACTGGCCTCCTTCCCTCGGTATGGCCACCTCTAGTGGGTGGCCATTAAGTAAATAAAAGAAGGTAAAATAACTCAAGATTTTAAAATTTTTGACACTTGAAATTAACTCATAGAAATGATGCATGAAGTAAAAGAAAGTTATCAGTGGCAAATTTGGTTCAATAAAAGCATGGACAACTTGTAAAGAAAGAACAAACGTTTAATTTGTGGACGAAAATATAAAAAATTTCTCCAACCTAAACAGAATAATCGGATCACATGAAGATTTAGCACTCCAGTTTAATTCACTTGATTATCAATCACCCAAATGTTACCCTAACCTAAGCCCCCCTAAGTAGCATAATGGTGTTTAATCATCAGGTAAAATGAGCTATGAGGGGGGGGGGGCTGATGTTCAAGTGGTCCCAATAATCAAGCGAACTATAGGTAGGAAACAGACTTGCCGTATTTGCCGGCATATAAGACGCTTTTTTTTTAAATGCATCAGAAATTATCCTGCGTCTAATGCGCCCATATTGCCAATGGGAGTCTGAGACGAGCAGTAGTCCACTAAGCACAAAAATTGTGTTAATAATAATATTACTAATAATATAATACTGAAAAACAAGCCAAATTATGACAATCTATTTGTCACAAACTTACGGCAAATTTGCCGAAGACATAAATAATGGCTTACATTGGCTTAACGGCAGAGGCAAGCTCACAACATCTCACTGTACCTCCTTCCCCAGCATACGTAACCCACATCAGATACATGTCTTACATTATTCAATGACTGTATTACCTTTAAGAAACATTTGTTTATTATCTAAATGAAAAATGCCCCAAGAAAGATTAAAGAAATGTTAACAGAAAGTTCAGCCACCAGCCAGTCACATTTGCAATGAGTCGATGACGCCAAAACAAGAGCGATGGTGCTACACCCTGGTGGCAGATCGCGGCAACACAAAACATCACAGCCAAAAATACGAGTTTCACATCCTGTTGGCACTTCTCTCGACCAAAATACAAACAAGCCACACAGCTGCTCTGATCAGAGGTAGAGTTGGGTTAGTATAATGTTACTATACTATATGATTTCCTAATTGATTCCAGTATATATTGTATTTACATGCACATAATTGTATGATGAAACGTACTAAGAAAAATTTTCCCACAAAATATCCTTGTAAAATAAGGGTGCGTCTTATACGCCCGCAAATACGGTAACTTACCCAACTCTCTGAAGGGATGACGCCTTTGTTGGTGCGGGCAGTGGATGACATCAACTTAGACGCGTAGCTGTTTCTTGTGATTCCACTTGATGTGAACCCTAACTCTGAAGAACAACAGTCAGGTAAGGTTCCAGCAGTGGGAGTATTGTGGGTTAAGCTATATTAACAGGTAAATGTATCTAATGCTTTATTAAGACAGGTAAATGAATCTAATGCTTTATTAACATTGATAAATATATCTTTCTTTAATTTTCTTGCCATATTAAATTTAAGGATATATTTCACAATTAACTCCTACAATGAGAATTAACTAATTTGTGAATTAATTTCTATATAAATTTTGTAGTAGTGGACTCAAAGAACTTCAAGCACTGCATCATCAATGAAGACTGTGCGACAATACATTCAGGAACTACAAGAGCAAACATACACACAACTTACGATTTACAACATGCATGGAGCATCCTAATGCCACGCCACACCCCACAGCTGCCATAATGACCACAAACACCACGAACAGCAACCAAAACCTCCAGTCCTTGTGCCACACAGTATGGTTCGTTATTCCTCTTTCACTCGGTGTTTCACAAAATGTTAGAGGACCATTTTCAGGAGTGCTGCCTTGTGTGTTGTGTGTCATCTTGTGTAAACCACCTTGGTCCCTCCTCACCAAAACCTCATCATCTTGGTCCATATCTGAATCGTCTAGTTCTAAGTTCTTCTTGTTTATATTAATTTCTTTCTTCATGCCCTCGATATTCTCATCATTTATCACAGCATCTTCTTGAGGTTTGTTCTCCTGCTTGCTGGGGCCTGGGTCGAATTTTTCCTTCAGCTTGTTGGTAAAGTTTTCGGTTGTTTCCATTTGCTCCAATTTATCTTCTTTCTGAAAGGGATCATGTGAAGATTAGCCCCACCAGCTTATTTCATCTTAAAATTAAACAACCTAACCTAACCCAATTTCATTAAACCTAAGCTAACTAAACCTAATCTAACCTAACCAAACCCCCCAAGTAGCATTAGGGTGTTTAATCTTCAGGTGATCCCCTAAAAGTAAGTGAGGCATATGATATTGCTGTCAATGAAAGCAATGCTCTCTCGGTACTGTACTGCACTGCACTCCTAAGAAGTTTTTAATGTATTTCTCTATAACATCTTACATTATGTTAGCTATACTAGATGATAGTTTATACAGATCCTCCAGAAGACACTGCTGTACTTATTTCATTATCATGGAAATGAATCATCAAAGGTAAAGATATTATCATATTACTGGATTTAGATAATTGGACCCAAATTCTGGAACAGGGTGGTAATATCGACAATATTTACCTAGATTTTGCCAAGGCTTTCAACAGTGTTCCCCATGAAATGCTGTAAATTAAACTGGAAGGGTACGGAATTCGGGGAAAAGTCCTAGTGTGGATCGGAGACTTTCTCCATGACCGCAAGCAGTGTGTGGTGATTAAAGGCACGAAATCATCATGTGTATCCGTCACAAGTGGGGTACCACAGGGCAGTGTATTGGGCCCACTGTTGTTTGTTTGCTTCATAAACGACATGCCTGACGCTGTACACTCCTTCATACAAATGTTTGTGGAAAATGTCAAGTTATTTGGGGAAATTAAGAACCAAGCAGACTGTGAAGAGCTGCAGAAGGATCTCTGTTATCTTCAAGAATGGTCGAAGAAATGGCTGCTAAGATTCAATGTCGTGAAGTGTAAGAGGCTACACCTGGGACATACCAATGGTAAGGAGGCGTATCATATATCCCAACAGGACGAAGAAACTGCATTAATTGAGACTGATTGTGAATAGGACCTAGGTGTGTATGTTGACAATGAGCTGAAGTTCTCAGGCCATCATTGTGAGAAGAAGGTAAATAAGGCAATTAAATTATTAGGTCTTATAAGAAGGTCGTCCAGATATCTAGACGGTCCGTCCCTCATAACAATCTTGAAGAGTGAAGTGCTTCCCTGTCTGGTGTACTGTCACCCCATCTGGTCCCAGAGATATGCTAGGGACTGTCAGTTGATTGAAATGTCCAAAGGAGGGCCATCAGACTGGAGCCTGCAGTACGGCACCTCAGCTACCTTGAGAGACTAGAGCGCCTAAAATTGCCTAGCTTATACTACAGACGGGCAAGGGGAGACTTAATTGAGGTGTATAACCATCTCAAAGGACACTACTCAGTTGAGTGCCCTCACCTGAAGCTGGCGGACGCTCGCCCCACAAGGGGTCACAGCTCAAGGTTGAAGAAGCCGCAAGTCGAGAAAACTGTGAGGGGTAACTTTTCCGGAATGAGAGTTGTAAACTTTTGGAACAATCTGCCAGAGTGTTGTGATGGCACTGAGTGTGAGCTCTTTCAAGACCAGACTTGATATCCACTGGAGCAGGTTTAGATACATTCAGGAGCCAGTGCATGCCCAGTACTTGCCAACAGTGCATAACAGAGACGTGACTCATCGCCTAAGTGGCTAACGAGCTGATCAAGTGATCAGTGGTGAAGAGGATAAAAGTAAGTAAAAAATATATCATACATTATAATCAGGTGGAATATTGAAAACAAAATAGAAAAAGTTCCTGAGGATTACTTTGTTACAAGCTGGTAACAAGTTAGTTTAGGATAATTTGAGGGTGATGTAGACGAATCTGCTTCTTACCTGAAAATATTTTCATGTTTAAGTACCTAAAATCATTCCCAGGTAATTGAAACATGACATCAAATTCAAGAAAATGTAACAATTTCTTCAAACTAATATTTTGGTGATCTCACTAAAGAGCAAGATCATGCTCTTTCATTTTAGGATGATGGTTTGGTTATGTAAAAATGATGGTTTAACCCTGTGAGGACACTGGTTCAACAGAGTGATGGTTTAACACCCAAAGAATTATGGTTTGTTTACTTAAATAATGAGCGTTTTAAGTCTTTCGGGAAGATGATTCAGCCCCTTGTGGATGATAGATAAACCACTGTCCTTGATGGGTTAATGGGCAAATTTTTACACCTGACACATGGAAAATACCTGGAGCTATACCAGAGAGAAAGAGAGAGTAGAGGGAGGGGAGTGAGGAAAGAGAGACAGAGAATAGAGAGAAAGGGTAGTTAAGAGTTCAACCTGAGATGTCCAACAGTAAGAAAGGGAAACATACAGTACTAACCTGTAGAACACTTGGGAGGAGGTTCAGCACCAGGTAGTTTGTAGGAAGATGGGCTGCCTCCTCACCCTTATATGGATGCCTGAAATATCATCATCTCAATATTATCATGGCAACTGGTGAAACATTTACACACACAGTATATAACACGAAGATAGAGTATAGTCTGGATCACCTTGAGATTAAACACCCTAATAGTATCCAAGAGTTTTAAGTTAGGTTAGGTTAATGTGAGTGTGGTTAATCTTCAGGTCAAATAAGCTGGGATGTCTAATCTTCAGTTGGTAAATATAAATTTCTCATAAGCTATAGAAGATGGAGTTAGAATGAATACCATATCATCAATCAATAATGGTGTCATCTTTAGGTCTGGGGGTTGGCGACCACAGCCCATCAAACCAGACAGCAGCTATTATCGTAACCCAAGAACTGTACTGTAAAACCAAGTGATTCAAAGATATACTAAAAATCACTACCCAAATCAAGAAAAAAAATTATAATGAAAATCTTCCTCTATATAATTTTAGTCGCCCATCAAGTATAGCATGAAGTATAAGTAATCTATAATTTCTCCAAATTTGGTTAAATCTTTGAGCAGCTTTAGTTATAAAAGTTTAAAAGCAATATTAACAGGTATTGGTTATGTTTCCTTTAAAGGTAAATTCTCCAAAGAATATCAAATTCATAAACGCTCAGCAAAATCTAATACAGTAGTTATAAAGTAATAGAACCTAGGATCAGTTTTAATTATTTTTTTCCTTTAAAATGTAATATTTCCAGAAATTTCAAATGTCACCTCACCTGCAGGTAGGACATGGTAGGACGTAGGAGCGGCGCTGGAGCTTCTCAACACATGGTCTACAGAAGGTGTGGCCACAACCAGGCAGGGCCACAGGCTGGTGCACCTTTGGGTCGAAAGCCTCCTGACACACAATACAAGTCAACTTCTCCACCAAGTTTTCCTTAACCCCTGTCATCTGTCACCAAATAATCACACATTAGTGGCGTCACAACTACTGCAAACTCAAGTAAGATTTTCCACTATAAGAGACAAAAAATATTACCACCAACTTCATGTTTTACTATCACAATAAAGATACATAAATATGCCTTTATTATGCCATGTCTGTGAAACACATCCGCAGTTAGGAAACACTTGTCTTAATTATTAAAAGTTGTTATAGAGTAGAACCTAAGGCTTCGTGAACCGTGGCCATCGCAGCCCCTCTTATACCGGATACAGTTTCCCCCCATTTATCATTCTGATACCAAACTGATAGTAAACACTGGCCACGTGCTGTACAGTTACTTAAAAAAACTACCTGCACTTGGAGGGGTCGATGAATTTCAGAATGAACACTGCAACTCCTAGGTAGGTGTATCAAAATCCTTCGTTCATGATGTCACATTTTCTCAATACGATTTCATATATATATATATATGTGTGTGTGTGTGTGTGTGTGTGTATGTGTGTGTGTGTGTAATGGTTGCCCCTCGTGTAACGAGGATGGCCGGCCCAAGGGCCACCTAGGAGTGAATTTGTTTAATGTGTAGAAGCTGTCGCCAACACAAAAACCACACCCGAAGTTAACAAGCTGCATGACCCAATGTCAAGGAATAGTCCGAGAAGACCGGACAACTCGCCAACTGCACTGGCTAACCATTACCCCGGAACACGATCCGCAAATCGATTAACATTCAGGTTCCCAATTACTGCTGGGTAGACAGAGGCAAATGGCAAAGAAACTTGCCCATAGTTTCACCCTGCCTTGTATGTACTGTATTACACACAAGGTAACACGACACAGTTCTTAGATGGAAACTTTTCTTGAAATAAACAGCGCCACTCTCGGGATCCTTTCATTACTCAGGACATCTCCTTATTTTAAAACTACAAGGTAGCGACGCATTATAAGGGGTTGGTCGCATAAAGCTCATGGGGTCACTGGGTCTTGTTGCGGTCACATGCGATTTTTTTTTTGCCCAGGTGTCCCTTACTAAAGGATGTGGCTGTAATGGCTTCCATCATAAGACACTGCAGCATTGTGTAGTTATTTTAATACAGGCAGAACGAACCATCCAAACCAAACTCACTTTAGCTAATCTAACCAAAACAACTTAACTAAAAATTATTCTACCGTCGATAAGTTGGGTTAAGCAAATTTGCTAGGTTAGGTTTGGTTGGGTTTGGCATTTTAAAAGATTTTCAGGTCGGACAATACAAATCGTTATTTCACAGTTCCGACACAAGATCCGTGAATTACAAGGTATACATTCACGTAATAAACACTATAAACGCTTCTGCGCTTCACCTTGCACAGGATGTAAGGGGGTGCCCAATAAACTAGCCCTCTCCCCGGGCAATCTGTAATAGATTATCTATAAAGAAGACCCCACCAAAAATGATCTTTGGTGTCGTCAGTGTTCTAAACAATTTGTATAAAAGACAGTGCGATAAAGTACCTTGTAACGCACGCTCTTGGTGATGAATATATAATGATTAGCGGGACGCACTGTTAACTCACCTATGT